CCCCCCTCCCCGGTAGTTCGCGCTCAAATATGTATATTTCGGGATGTTGGCATGACGGCCTTCTCGATCCCCGAGGCGTCATCTTGCCACGTGACGAAAAGCAAGTGTACTCAATAGACCGGATCTTCCCATCTCGAGACGGTGGGGCCGACGACAGAGAGAGCACTACAACACCAAGTGTAACGTGTACAAAGCTTGCTGCCGTGCCAGCGGCGTGCCGAGCGCAGGTCGTAGAAATCTGCCTCTCGTACCTTCACCTCAGCTGCAATTTGTAACCTGGTCGAAGCTTTATCTGTGGCAGCAAGGATTCAAGGGGATGCTGATGTCTCTCTCCGAGACCCAGCGCTGTTTCTTTGTACGAAGTTCTTGAGTACTACCGTAAGAAGTCGCCAAGAATGTGTTCAACGACCTTGTCGAACCAGAACTGCATGAAGATACACCTGCTGCTGTAGCACGCTGCCGCCGATATGCGGCAGGGTGTATGTACATCATGTACATGACTGAGGCCGCTGCAACTCCCATCTGCTTTAGTGCCACTGCTGATTCCCACATGTCACGAGCCAGCTACCTGTAGGCCGTCAACAGGGTAGTGTGCACCAGCGTGGCGGCTTTATCCAGCGTGGTGGCCTTGTTTCGAGGGTTGTTCGATGCATGGAACGGTCTGTATCCACACGAACGAGAGCTGTACGAATTAAATCGCCGCCGACATGGGACTTCGACCCCGTTTCGTGCTCACTGATTCTTGTGATGAGAGAACTTCCATGAGAGATTGTGCACTAGACACATGAGTAATCGACATCTACACAGCTAGGTGGCGGCCAGCCATCTCCTGTGATGTACCAGTGCATCGGCAGCAATGATGTGTTGGTGCAATCAATATTTTTGTCTTTGTTTCTTGAACCACAATAGTGGTGTGTGCAGCAACACCGCGCAGTACATTCCGCTACGCGACGAAGCTGGTGTCAAACGTCATGCTGCAGAGAGAGCAATAGCTTACTGTTGTGTGACGTTGTTCCCCTGCTCGCTGCGGTGCCGCCCGGCTGTGCACAACGCAGAGCTTTGTATGTGCGGATCCTACGCCGACCAGCATTCAAGAGAAGGGTCGGCAGGCACCCTCCCTGCTGTGGCGTTGATATCCTCTTTGTGCAGGGTGTGAGCTCCCTCACGTGCCGATTCTTTTTCAGTACGCGCGGCAGGCTAGGACCATGGCGACGCGATATTTAGGCAGGCGGGCACGAAATCTAACTGGACATAAATTTTGTGCATGAACTGCTCTGTTTAGTGATGCTTCGGGCGGTTGGCGGTTCGTTGGTTTCCGACCACGACAACGAGCGTAGTGGAGAATGATTGTTCGGGCGCGAGACCAGAACGTTTTTTACCCCAAACGGCAACTAAATGTCTCTCTTCCCCCGTCACACCCCCCCTTTGTCCGTACATTTCTCTCTCTCTCTCTCTCTCTCTCTCTCTCTCTCTCTCTCTCCCTCCCCCTCCCCCGCCCCCGGTTCTCTCTCTCTCTCCTTGCCTCTATTTTTTTCATGTTTCGACACTTTCGCGTTCGTGCGCTCGACTATGTACCGTCGCGGTACGGGGTAACGGCAACGGTAACGGTAACGGTAACGGCACGGCGCGGAGCGGCACAGTCAGCACGAGCTTGTCAGCACTTCGCTTCATGGAAGGTCTTCCGAGGAAGACCATGCAGCTGGCCTCATCCACTTCCCCAAGGTAAGTTTTCACGCGCCCCAACACCGAAAATATAAGCCAACTGCACGGATATGCCTACTCGCACAAGTGCTGTTTTTTGTTTTGTCTACCGATGTTGATGCGCGCGGGTGTGTGGTCGCCACGTCCATTCTGGCGCCAGTCTGCGAACACCTTTCTCTTGAACGTATCCGCCGGGGTCACACAGGAGGAAGGAAGGTCAACATGACTCCTTTTTTTTTCGCTTGTGGTGGTTTGGCTGTTGGCCCCATTTTTTTCTCTTGCGGTGCTTGCCTGTAGGGTTGGTTGTCGTGAAGTAGTTGGAATTGCATCGACCGTGCGGTATGCGCGCGCACCCATTATTTCTTCGTTTGTTTCTTCGGTCCACAGGGGGGGGGTGTACTCATAGTCGTGCATGCCGTAGTCGTTAGACCATTGACCTCGCATCCCTACAAAGCCGGGACGGAGCACGCCGGGTTCTCACCGGACCAGGCTCTCACATCACCAAGCGCGAAGCGCCGTGAGATATTCGGCGAGTCGCATGAAGGGTACGCTGCATCCTGCTAAGGGTTTTCGGCATCTTGTGCTTACTCCCTTGCATACGGATGACAGCTGCGTATGCTTCGGTCCACAGGGGTGTGTTTTTTCTTTCATTTCATCTGTATGACATCAACGAATCCATCTCTATCAAAGAAGAGAGTCTAGGACAGCTTAGCAATGAATCCGTAGAGTCCGCGAAATATCTGTTTGTCCACGATTTCCCGAGCAGCACACAGCAGTGATGTGTTCTTTGGTTACTCTTTTGCGCGCTGTGGTCGGCAGCTCTCGACGATTCGCCAACAACACGAGCCACGAGCCACGCGATGCCAAGCCCCCGATGGACCTACCTACTTTTTGTACACGCGCTTCCGAGTAGCCAGACCACCAAAGCGCTGCGCCTGCGTTTTTTCAGAAAATATACATCAAGTCACCGACAAGACTACCTGTTCCAGATAATACCTCAATAGTCGAAGGGGTTTGTTGGAAGTATTTGCACGCTGGCTTCACTCCTTGCTGGAGCGCGAGGGGGAACAAGGGGAGATCCGAGGTTCAGCAGTTCCTTCATTTTCGAAGCAGATGTAAAACACATAGCGTCGCGGAATCCCGGCCTGCTTGCTGGAGCAGTTGCGAGTACGTTGCCGCATCGGCGCTTGCATCAAGATCAACCAACCAAACAAGGCGACAATACACGATTCCTCGAGCGGCGGGTAGTCTTCTCCCTCCGTGCTTTGCTTCTCTGGTCTGTGAACGTCACCCTAAGAACGGGTACACAGCAGCAGCCAGCAGGTTTGTTTTTATTTCCATGGCGACTTGCACGCTTGGTTGTGTCGAAAGCCCTTTCTCCCTAGCTACAACGATTTCTTTTAACGATCGGGGCTCTTGGAATCTTCGTCTTCTTCTTGCAATAACTACAAAATGCTAACGCTATGAATTCTCTCCCAGACTCTTACTACTTTTATCTGTGCAAGATGGCTTGCTGTAGGTACATATGAGTAAAGCAAAATGAAACAGGCATATTCATCAACGCGTTTTATTCCGTTCTCGTCGTGTGTACCTGGCGATGTTTGTGATGACGGTTGGCAGGAAGACCGGCGGGTTCTGGCGGCGGACATCAAGCGAACGAGGCAGGCATACGCCATGTTCAAGCGGGAGGAAGTGATGCAGCTGGTCTCGCAGGTCCTCGAGAGGTACTGCGTGGGGCACGGCATCCGCTACAAGCAGGGCCAGAACGAGCTCATCGCTCCCTTCGTCATGCTTCAGGTACACGCACCATATGGCACACGCTTCCTGTTGGGTAGGTGGGGAAGTTGGTCGTTCCTCACGGTACGTGGGCCGACTTGAGATGCATGGCGGAGTTTTCCATGCGGGCAAAAACGATCCGATCGAAGTAGCTACCTTCCGCCTTTTTGTCAGTTTCATCCAAGACACAAAATCCAACCTGTATCTACCCCCCCTCCAGGACCCGCCGCTGCCGGTGCCGGTGCTGGGGTTGATGTTCGAGTCCTTCATGAGCCGGTTTGTTAGCCGCTGGTTCGTGGACGACGAGATAGAGGCGCTGTTGGTGAGCTACAGGGTCTTCCGCGTGCTGCTGTTCTACGTGGACCCCGGCCTGGCGAGCAAGCTGGACGAGGCCGACTTCGTCCCGGAGCTGTACGCCACGGCGTGGCTCATCACCCTCTTCAGCAGGTAGGTCTTTCTGCCGCGGCGTGCTGCTGCTGTGCCTTGTGTGTGACAGTAGAAGGTGATGGTGGGGGTTGAGAAGTTCATGTGGGATGTTTTGCGTGGTAGCCCATACTGCTACATGTCTTTTTTGTTGTTGTTGTTGTTGTTTTTGCGTGGTTGTTATGTCGATGCTGCAGTTTTGATCGGAACGGTTGTCGCGGCGAAGATATTGTTTTGGGGGGGGGCGGTGCGGCTCCGGGCGATTTTGCCAGCGGGTGAGGGTTTGTCGTCGCAGACGGCATGGGATCGACGCGAGGACTTCTGCGGATTAAGGAAGAGCCTTATCCCGGAGGGTTCCGTGTTTGGTCATGCCTACACCCTGTGAAGAGTGCCTGTGGCGGCTTCTTGTGCGTCTCACATCCCACTTTTCTGATAGGTGTGTTGTTTGTATTTGTTTGCTTTTCCACAGGCAACGATAAGGCGGCCACTCGTCATAGTTCGGGTAGTCGGGTGGCGGAGGTGCTTGCGATCGTAGCGAGGGACGGGTTGTTGTATTTTGGCTCCCGGTCTCGAGTGGCGATCCCTGGCTCATGGTCCACATGTCAAAGAGGAGTCGTGTGGCACATGTGCATACGGTGGTGGATATTTCGTTCCCATTTATGTCACCATGAGTTCGATTTTGTGCATTCGAGGAATAGGTGAGACCTTGCTGTGCCCTCTGTCCGGGCGACAGGTCTGTTCCAGCATGAGCTTTGACTTGTGCGCGGTGTTGGTTGTGTTGGGGCTTGCCGCCTCCACTGCTTCCGCCTGTGTCTTTCATTTTGAGTAGGCGTCATTTGAGTAGGCGAACGATATGTGGAAAATTTAGGGCGTTCACCCTCTCCCCCCCTCGTTTGACAAATGACTACGTCAAGCAACAAATGAGTACGCCCCCCCCCCCTCGTTTGTCACGTCCGCGACTGCAGGAACTTGACGATGGAGCTGGTGGTGAGACTTTGGGACGTGTACCTGGCGGTGAACGACCCCTCCCTCGTGTTCTTTCTGCTCGCTGCTCTCCTCGTCCGAAACAGGCAAGCTAGCGAGGCATCGAACCAGGAGACCACGTACTACCGTATATGACGCAAGATAACACACCCCCTGGACCGATTTTCAAAGCTCGATTACGCCACGACGAAGAGGGTGCATCAATGAAGCAATACATTGTCAGAGAGCTCTCGATGAGACAAATTCAACGCCACCGTTCTTACGGCTCTGAGACTCAATTCTGCTGTTGCAATCGGTGCAGGGTGTGCGTTATCATGTGTCACATACGGTATGCACATAGCAGCATCAGCAGAAGCAGCAGCCCTATGATTGCATAAGAGGACGTGTTCATTGCGTAAAGACGAGAAGAACGCCCCCTGTGGGTTTCGTATCTGTTGGAGAGGTAGGCCCCAAGTCAAGCAACAGCCTTAGCAGTAGATAGCAACAGCTTCTCTCACCTGCAAGTGCCACGGCACACGTGCTTAAGAGAACGGCCTCCACCGTGTTGTCTTCTTCGTTTCACTCTTCGTCTATGGATCAATCGCGGTGGCTTGCACGCCATTTATTTCCGTTGTTTTATTCTCTCCGATTTTTGCCGTTCCACATTGGCTTAGTCCGGTTGCCACACCACACTCATCTACATCCGTGTGCTAGGGTTGTCTGTTGTCTTCACACCACGAGGAGCTCTGTCGAGCACCTGACACTGTTTTTTCCCAGCCCCTCATCGCCTGCACTAACAGCAAACACGGCACGGTAGATACTCTCTATGTATGATTGTAGCATACGGTACCTTTTTTTCTTATAACCTGTAACACATCGATCGAGGAGGTCCTCGCTCCGGGAAGGCGTTGGTTGCCCCCGCGCGACCTATATGACCGCTTTTTTCTACGCGTCTTGTTGTTGTGCATATTTTTGTGCTGTTGCTGCGTTTCCAGGAACGCGATCCTGGGGGTGGACCAGGCACACATGATGCCGGAAATGATCCAAAGCCTTACCGTCACCGACAAGGAGGTGGGTGTGCTAGGGGGGGTTGCGGCGGGATCTATGTCGCCATCCTGTTCCTCGATCATGACTCTCTCTGTGTGTGTGTGTATGTGTGTGTGTGTGTGTGTGTGTGTTTTGGTTTTCGGTTGACGTGTGGTTTCGTGTTGTAGGGCTGCCATGCCGCACATTCAACGCGGGCGCGTAGGCTGCTGTCGTTCGGCTACACGTTTGGACGACTTTCGGGTGGCCGTTTTTGACCACGTTGCGGACGGACGTCGTCGACAGCAGCTCTGCACAAGATTTAGCGGTGGTCGTTCAGTCATGATGCTGAATTTCATGGCGGTGATTTTTTCTATGTTTTTCACCGAAGAATTTCGCTCAAGCTGTGCGATTGATTGCTGTTCGAACACTGCGCTTGAAATGACCGGAAAAAAAATGAATAAATGTCAGGACCTGGAGGAGCTCATAGTGCAGGCACGAGAGATGCTGAGGAAAATTCCTGAAAGCTTCCTCCAGACCGTTCGCAGCTGCTGCAGCGACCAGTGCAACGTGCCTCTGGACACCTCCCGCTCTCTCTTCTGCGAATCCGTCAGGTTGGTACAAGACACATTAGAGATGAATTTAATAGTCCTTTTGTTTCTCTTTTCAAACGACAACGAATTTATCTCTTTGTAGAAAGGAGTCCGGGATAAAAAAATCCACAGCGTCATATAGCGGATACGCGTCCAATTTTTTTTCTTTTTGCTCTCTGCGGTTGCCGTGACTCGGAAGGGTGGTTGTTAGCCTGAATAGGCCAAGCTCATGGACCGAACGTTCGATGTATCCGTCGCCCGCTCGTCGTGCACAGGCCGCGCCCGCATGCACAAGGGCCTTTTTATTACGTTGCCGCGAGACTCGTTTCTTGCTTCCCTTCCCTGTGTGGGGTAGCGCCCAACAGCGAAAACACCTCCAGGTTGTAGGATACTTGGTAATACTAGTGTTGTTACATGAGCCCCTGCTCTTACATGGTCAGGTCAAGTTATTTCGTTCATGGCGCTTGCAGAGGGGACGTGTATACTGCGTGCCCCCAAACGGCTCTTTGCACATTTTGGCGCCCCACCGCAGGTGCGTCTCGATCGGCCCGGAAGAGCTCCTGGACAGGATGGCCAGAAGGTCGCCGGGGAATGGGGAGGGCGGGGGCGGAGACGGTAGGGAGGGGGCACGCGACGGAAGGGTAGCAGCAGACGGAAACCACAGCCCTTGCCCGATGCGACCCGGAGCGTTGGACACGGTTGCACTGGACATCCGGCCGCTGCACGACTACGAGAACAGCGGGACCGGGCACCTGGGAAAGGTGCGAGAATCATTTCATTGTGCTGCGAGAAATGCAGGACGGAGTGGTGATGTTGTGCTTGGGTGCGGCAGGTTCGTCAGAGGACGAGAGCGAGAAAGAAGATTGGCTGAACAAGTTTTTTTGCTTAACCCTTACGTGACCTCAGGCCGATTCAGCTCCGTTCTCAGCTCCAACCACTTTGCGTGCCGAAAGATCGCCGTTGTGCCTCGGCTACGAGCAAAAACATACATGAAGACCAGCAGGGAGACACAGTCAGCCCACCCCAAAAGTACGCTTATCAGCAATGCGCACAGGGCTCACATAGTACAATACTTCTATTCACCCATGTCTAATCTCTCTGACGTGGGGCAATATCCTTTCCAGATCCAAACTACTGCCTACCGGTACTGTAAGATTCAAACGCAAGATACCACCGGAGGGTACATACAGCACCCTGAACATGTGATTAACCCGGTGCCGCATCCGCGGGGGAGAGCAGAGAAAGCGCACACCTGAGCCGATGCTGACGTACTGCCTCGGTGCTTGATGTTGTTGTGATTGCGATGCGTGTGGTTCTCAGTATTGGGAGTGAAGGGTGGTTCGTCTGCTGTGCGCAAAATTTCGCTCAATGGCAAGGGTTTCCGGGACTACAGCTCCGATCACAGTTCTCTATTTGTAGTACAGAACTATAAGATTTATCACGATTTTATGCATGGTACGATCGTGGGGTCTCGATTCTCTGATGAGCGGGCCGTTTTTTTCGTCGATCTGGCGCTTCTGTGAGGTGGTTTCCCGTCAGCGTCTTTCGCATCTAGCGCCCCTAGCATGTGCGCTTTCCGCATGCTCTGTCCAAGGATAAGGTGGAGAAGATGTGCCAACAGGTATTGCTTGCACAGGTACATCCTCTGTTCGGACGGTTGCTGTCGGAGACAGGCATGCACACCTGCTCAGAAGTTACTGCTGCTGTACAGTCTGTTTCTCTCCGCATAGCTGCTACTGCTGTACGGTAGTGGTACCACTGTACTCCTGTTCGTCACCCTTACATACCGTAAATGACACAAGATAACACACCCCCTGGACCGATTTTTCAAATCTCGATTTCTGAACAACAGAAAGGGTCACGGCGCCGAAAACGGCGGCGTTGGAACCGTCTCGTCGAGAGCCTTCCAAAAATGTGTCGTTTCGTTCATGCATCCTCTTCGTCGTGGAGTAATCGAGCTTTGAAAATCGGTCCAGGGGGTGTGTTATCTTGTGTCATGTACGGTACGCCGCGTCCCCATCCCTGTGAGCCCCGCACATGGAACCACCACTGCACCATCCCTGCCGCTGTGATTTATGGATGTACACGTGTGCACGTATGCTTGGAACATCTTTGACCGCAGAGAGCCAGTTGTGGGGGAAAAAAAGAAAAAAATCAAAGTAACCCAGTCACGCAAGGGTTAAGAGAGTGTTAGAAGTGCGGGAGGCAAAACGGTCCCCAGGCGGCATGTCCATCATACAGGCATCATCCGCTTGACCCCCCCCCGGAGGCCCCGTATTTCAGCAGTACCCTGCCGAGCACTCCCATGTTGCCTCAGAGGTCGTAACACATTTGGGCATGGCGCGAACCATGTGCTTGGCCAGTTGCGCCCTCTTGTTGGTGTTGTGGTCAATTGTTTTCTTGAGGTGCGTGCGCTGTTTTTGACGGTTTTGTCGTTCATGTTTGTTTTTGTGCGTGGGTGCCCGGTTGAGGTGCAATAGGCATGTACACTACGGTGTTTATTTTCCACTATATTTTTCTCGTCGCGATTCCTTGTTGCCTAATTCTGGCCATGCACTACTGCTGCGGAAGCAGCGGCGTTGGACACCAAGGGAGGCGCTAAAACAACGACAGCAGTAGAACTTAATGGCCGTCGGCGCTGAAACAAAGGCAGCAGCGAAAGAGCTAAATAGCCGAAGGCGCTAAAGGCACAGGCAACAGTCGATAGAGCTAAATAGCCGTAGGCGCTCGTCTGTTACAGCCATTCTGCACCGCGCCCTCTGGCACAGTACGTCTTGCTATAGTTTATACTCCGTTGGTGCCGGGTTCGTGGATTGGTTATTGGTGTGTACCTTGTAGTGAATGAGTTCGAGCGCAGCGTTTGTGGCCGTCTGGCAAGGTTGCCGGTCGTAACCACGAACAGGCACGGCCTTGGAAGGGGAGACGTAATACGGAACATGGATTTCCACACATTGCACGTGTGTGTGCTTGCTTTGGGTTCTCGCAATTTCGCGGTACGGTACGGTACGGTACGGTACGGTACGGTACGGTGTACCATCTCCGTGCAGCATGTTTTGGATGCACCAAGATGCTAACTAGCAGTGGTGATCGACTGGTTGACAGCGACGAGGAGCTTAAGCCGTTGCGGTGTGCTGTGCCGCGTACCGGTAGACTTGACAGAACAAGAACATGCTTCATCCAGTACTGCACGTTCTCTACAGATGCTGTTTTGGTTGACGGTGGTTCTGCTGATTTAGCCGGTGCTCGTACCGTGTATCTTGTGTCCTTGCTTCACCTCGCGACGCCTGCAGTAGCCCATGCTTTAAAACAGGTCAGAGCAAAAAAGACCGGTAGCACAGCATCGTACCTTGATCTACGATTTCCCGCTCGCACACACTCTTTTTGTTGCCCGACGACCAAAAGACTACAATCGAAGCCTAACCTAACCCATTCCCGCTACCGCCATGCACATGACACACCGCACACCCTCGTTGCCCTCCGACCACAACGATGGAAGCGAAAACCCCGCCCCAACCCACCTCACCACACACGGACACACGCTAACAACCGCTGCCCTGTCTTCTGTTGATCTGGGCAGTCTCTACGACTGGATCCCTACCTGTTGGAGATGGAAGACATCTTGGAGAAGTGGATGCAGCACTTCGACGGCACCCGGGGCACTCACGTGTGCCTTGTCGACTCTCTGGACCCCACCACCGGCTCCGGTGCTTACGGCAGCAGCGGCGGCGGTGGGCACGGTGATGAATCCGTGGGGCGTGGGGGGGAACAACAGCAGCAGAAGCAGCGGGAACAGGAGCGAAGAAGAGGCGGGAGCGAGGCTGCTGAGAAGGACAGGGCGGGTAGCGAAGTAGCAGCAGCAAGGGCAGCAACATCGGGGGTAGGCAGGATTATCGAGGACCCCTTGTGGAGGCGTCTTTTGTTCGGGGAGGGGGATCCCATCACGGCGGGCGGGAGAGAGGGAAACGCGGATGCACCGGATTGGGAGTGGCAGCAGCAGCGGCAGCCGTCTGATGGCAGCGATCGCGCCTCTCGCGGGGGAGGTTCAGGAGTAGGGGGGGTAGTCGAAGGCGGCTCGGGAGAGGGTTTCGGAGCTGCGAAGGTGAGAGGGGGGGGGGGGGGGGGTA